AAATCCCGCGATTTATCTTCTCTTCAAACCTCCGGGTAGGGTTGGGGGACCCTGGGGGGGTGTGCCACCTCTTTTTTAAGTGAAAGCCAACAAAGAAAATGGTCTCATTGAATTGTGAAAGAAATGATTGCTTAATCTTTTTATCTTTATGCTCAAAAATAGGTGCAGTACATAATAAAGTAGAATTTCAATCATTATTTGTATAATTATGAGAGAGACAAAAAGGGCTGAGGTGCTTTGTTCTTTGGTGCTGTAATTGGCTCTTTTTCTTAGCAGTTTTGTTTTTGCTTTTTCTTTAGGAGGGTTTTTGTTGACTGAATCAATTTGGGGAAAATCTTACATGTACACCACAAAGACAAATCTTATTTGTGTTTTGGTTAGAAATTGAAGTTCTCTTTACCCGCATAATTTTTTCACAAACCTGTAAATCTTAAAAAAAATGTGTTGTTCACATGGACTATGCTACAATAATTTTAAGAAGGTATACCAAAATAGGGCACATCATTTATATATCAGACAAACATATACACTTACTGTTTGTGATCTACAGACACTAACACTATGTTTGGTTCAAGGAATTTGAAAGGGAAAAGAAAAGAAAATGAAGTGAAAAACCATTTTTCTTGTTTGGTAAGAAGGGAAAAGTGGAAGGAAAAGAAAATGAGGAGGCAAAATGTACCAAGTGGAGGGAAAACTAAATTCCTTCCATTTTGGTGAGGAAAATGAGAGAAAACCATTTTCTTTTCTTTTCCTTCAAAATTCCTTGAACCAAACATAGTGTAAGTGTCAGTGTTTGTTTGACACTTACTGTTTGTGATCTACAGACATTAAGTGTCAGTGTTTGTTTGGTGTACAAATAGAGTATTCTATTTTAGTGTATTCTAGGTTTATTTTTTTAGGTTTATTCTTTTAAGAATGACATCAAAATTTACACCACTTTTGTAAACAATAATTTCTAACTAACCGTTATTGCCTGTACAAAAAAATAATAGTGTCATGTGTCAATCTTTGGTTATTTAAGCATTCGTGTTTTTTGGTGAATCATTTAAATATATAGAGATGTTTGGTGAAGTTTGTCGGATCATTAGTTTATTTGAGTGAGATTTTTCAATGAGATATGGTTGGTGATCCATCTTTTCAATTTGTGGTTCGAACTTTAGACGGCCAATGTCTGGAAATTTAACAAATTTGATAGAGTAAATATCATAATCCTTTGTAACATGAAGATTTTCTTATTTACTAATTCCGTCCCAGAGTATTTGTCCACTTTCATTTTTACACACCATCCAATGCACGTATTTAATCCATTTTATCTTGTAATTTGTATATTAAAAAATTATAGAAATTATATATTAATAATCTATATGTTAAGACAAATCAAACAAGATCACACATGACTATATTTAGGCTTACACATTAAGAGAATTTGATGAGTCAAAGTGATTAGATGAACAGTTCCAAAAGTCAAAACTGGACTAATACTTTTGGAATTGTTTATCTAACCACTTTGACTCATCAAATTTTCTCAATGTGTAAGCCTAAATATAGTCATGTGTGATCTTGTTTGATTTGTCTTAACATATAGATTATTAATATATAATTTCTATAATTTTTTAATATACAAATTACAAGATAAAATGGATTAAATAAGTGCATTGGATGATGTGTAAAAATAAAAGTGGACAAATACTTTGGAACGGAGGGAGTATTTTTTAATTCAAAGTTCTTATAAAAAACAAAATACATATGATAAAAAAAGCTAACAAGGAAGAAGAAATACATCGAAATAAAAAAAGAAATAACCGAAATATAACTATTTTTATGATACTCCCTCCATAATTAAATTTACTTATCTTGTAGCATATTATTAATGAGAATTTACCTAAATAGGACTAAAACATAATGATTTTTCTCAATATAGGACAGTATAAAAATCCTATACATAATGATTTAGTACTTATGGATAATGTCCATAATGATTTAAATAAAATTCTTTCAATTGCGTTGTTGAATTTTTTTCATTTTATTATGATTTGTTTACTAAAGAAAGAAATAACCGAAATATAACTATTTTTATGATACTCCCTCCATAATTCTTTCATTTGTTTACATAATGAATTATACAAAATTCTTTCAATTGTGTTGATGAATTTTTTATCATTTTATTATGATTTGTTTACTAAAAAAAGAAATAACCGAAATATAACTATTTTTATGATACTCCCTCCATACTTAAATTTACTCATTTCACAGCATATTATTAATGAGAATTTATCTAAATAGGACTAAAACATAATGATTTTCTTAATATAGGACAGTATAAAAATCCTATACTTAATGATTTTCACAGCATATTATTAATGAGAATTTACCTAAATAGGACTAAATTTAGGACTTAAAAAGTTTTTTATTCTCTAAATAGGACTTAATATTAATGTCTAGAGGGAGAAATAATGTCCAGTAATTATACTCATTCTCTAAATATCCATAATTACTGGACATTATTTCTCCATCTAGACATTATTAAGTCCTATTTAGAGAATAAAAAACTTTTAAGTCCTAAATTTGAAAATGACTTATGTTTTAGTCTTATTTAGTATAAATTCCACTTTAAAAATATCTGTTGAAATATGACGGCATTAAACAATTCGTAGATTTTGAAAGATTTTTATTAAATGTGGATTTTAATGGATTTGACTTTTGTTTTTTCTGTGCAGAAAACAGAGGATTTTAATAGACTTTCCTCGCCCCTTCACATTGCGACCTTGGCCTCTGTAGGGATTTTCATCCCTCTTCAACACCTCTTGCTCCTGGACGATGCAGGCATCTGCTCTGGCAGCATTGCTCCTCAACGAGAAGACGTAAGAAAGATGAAAGTTGCTTGGAGACGACTGTCCAATGGTCTAAATGAAAAGCATTGTTACCAGAATTTGTATGGAGTCATTTTCGTCAATTCACTAGTTTGTATGCCTTCTATTGTTTCCTCTTTTGTTAACAAAATTCTTTCTATTCTGTTGATGAATTTTTTTAATCATTTTATTATGATTTGTTGACAAATTCCATTATATTTTTCTGCAAATGAAATAAATAAGAGACAATGTGAGTGTGTGGTGGGGTAAAGGATGAATCTCCCTCAAGACTTTTTCTCAGCGAATTAATTTCTATATTTTAATTTAGGGGTGAATTAATTTGAATGAGTGAGTTATAAAGTGGAAGAGTTTGTTGATATTTACTTGTAAAAAGTAAGCTGAAAAGGGAAAGTGATAGGACATTTTACGAAAAAGGAAGTGTGATAAATATTTTAAGACGTAGAAAGTTTATTTTGTGTCACATTCACTACAAGTCTCTTACATGAATGTAGCATTCTAATTTTAAATTTTTAAATTTTAAAAAATAAGTTGAAAAAAAGATTACCTGAAATAATATCACATTTTGTTTAGTTGCACAAAACAAACATTTACTATTCTTGTGAGACGTATGAGTATTATGTTCTGAAATCTCGTTTTCTTGTTCCAAATATGCCTATTTCTAATTTTTTTAGTTTGATTTACACCATGAATTATTATTTTGTTAACAGCGGGTTAACGTAACGACCTGTTTTGTGCAACAAAATGAAGTTGGGATTATTTTTAATAAATTTTTGTTTTTTATTTAAATGTTTATTTAAGTTTTTTTTAAATCTTTCTACATAAATTTCTTTTTCCTTTTAAAAAATATTATTCTTATCTTATAAAAATAAAAAATAAGTATAAAATATCAAATATAAATAATAAGTATAAAAATATTAAATATAAGATTTCAGTTATTTTTCTCATTTTTGTTATTTTTTATATCTATTTTTTTATTTATATCCAAAGTTAGACTAATCTTTAAAAGAATACAACAAAATGAAAGCTGAGATTATTTTAAGTGAATTTTTGTTTTTTGTTTGAATAAATATTTATTTAAGTTTTTTATAAAACTTTCTACATATTAAATATAAGAATTTAGTTATTTTTCTCATTTTTGTTATTTTTTATATCTAGTTTTTTATTTATATCCAAAGTTAGACTAATCTTTAAAAGAATAAAAATGATGGAAATCAAACTAAAAATGAGAAATAAACATATTTTGAATAAGAAAACGAGATTTCAGAACATAATATTCGCACATCTCACAAGAATGACATTTAGGGGCTGTTTGGCAACTTCTGAATAGATAAGTGCTGAACCAGTAAGAGGTCTGAACCATTAAGTGCTGAACCAGTAAAAGGTCTGAACAATTAAGAGCTAGTATATTGCTTAACTATTCAAAGGCAAATGTCTGATCAATTCAGATAAGAGGTCTTAACCATTCAGACTCTGTATAATACTTAACCATTCAGAGGCAAATCTCTTAACCATTCAGACATCTGAACCATTAAGAGGCTGAAACAAACAGTCTGAACCATTAAGTGCTGAACCATTCAGACATCTGAACCATTAAGAGGCTGAAACAAACAGCTCCTTAATCAATGAAAAAATTAATAGAAGGAAACTTGAGAGAAATAAAGCAAGAGATTGAGCCGATCTAGAATTGAATTTGAAGGGCTAAATGCCTAAATCTATCGATGACGCTGGAGGGAGATAACAACTCTAAACGAAGGCGGCTGGAAAATACGATGCAGGGTTGGATGGAGACGCAAAACAATTAACGGAGAAGACGTTAACGTATGATGGCGATGAAGGAAAGAAAAATAAATTAATTTTGGATTGTGTCCAATATTGAAATAACAAGAATAATTTAAACTTTTAAAAGAAATGAATATTATATCCACGTGTCGGGCATAAGATAGGGAGGGTTTTAAACTCCGAACCGCCACCTCCACTTTAACTCCAACACATTCGACACTTTTGGGTGAAAGCATAACCGCTAGCGCAATCTGGCCTGCCAACTTCACATCCAGCGTCTTCTTCTTCACCCGGCTTGTTCATGTTCATACAAGGGAATATAAATCCAGTCTGGTTTGGGACCCTTTCCCAAATGTACTCTCAGTCCTTTTGCTAATGTCGCGTTTAGGGCGGGATGCCCTTTAAACAGTAAACACACAGGCACTCAGATTCCATATATCTTCTAAGTCGTTCGCAGAGAGATCGGTTGCAACATAATAATTGGTAAGTGCTCAATTTCGTGTATTTTTTTGCTTGATTTTGTGACTCATAACATTACTACGGCCTATTGTTTATTATCATTATTATTATTTGTTTCATTTCGCTTACTTGTAAATTTGAAGCTTTAAAACCCTAATTTAGAAGATCGGAATTTGTTTCTTAGGTCTGTATGCGTTGCTGTGATTTCTCACTGTCATGATTGAATAACTGATGTTCCCGTTTGAATTTATATATGGTTTGTAGATGGAGAGGAATGTAATCAAGAAATCTCGCGTTCATTCTCCTAATGGTAGTACGGGCGAGGAAGGCCTCGTGGAGAAACTTCCTGTTGAGATTATTGGAGAGATATTGTCTCGCGCAGGAGCTGTACGAGATGTCATCAGAGCTTCTCTAACTCGTCGCAAGTGGCGAGAAGCTTTTTGCAAGCACCTTCACACACTCTCGTTTGATGTTTCGGATGGTGATGACCTGGAAGTGTTGATCACAAAGACCATATTTCAAACAACTGGTGTGCGAAAACTATCCATTGCGACTTACAAGCACAAGGTTTCATCTGTTGCAGCTTTGGGCTGGTTAATGTTCACTAGAGAAACATTGTCGGAGTTGTTTTACAGGGTTATCACTTCTCCCACTATTAATGTTCTTGATATATGCGGAAGGCAGAAACTCAAAACCTTGAGTTTACAAGAAGAAACAATTATTAGGGTTGAACCTGGCTTCCATCGATTCCCCTGTTTGACATCACTTTGTCTGATCCGTTGCTGTATTTCAGAAGAGGATCTAAATTGACTCCTTTTGGCACTTCCCAAACTTGAGTGTTTGGAGCTACGTGACCCAAAATTTGGAGTCGTGGATGAGCATAATTTTTCAGAAAGGGTAACAGTGAAATTGCATTTACCTACATTGAAGACTCTTGTTTTTATTGATCTAGTTTTGTTTGATTTTATTTTGGAGACATGTGATGTTGGATATTTGAATATGAAAGGCTGTGCTTTTGATTTATTTGAGGTCAATGGTAGTAAAAATGTGAGGCAGCTCAAAATTTCCAAATCGGAGTTTCAACTTCTTGAAATTGAAGAAGGAGACAATCTAGAGATTTTGGAAATCATCAATAGTCATGTCTTTATGTCAAATTTGTTCCCGATGAAGGTTCAAGCTCCAAAGTTAAAAACGTTTCGAATTTGTCGTTTTGTTGACAGAAGTGATCCTTTTTACCCAGGGGATGAGTCGGAATGTGTTTTGGATTTAGATCGAATGGCTGTTTGTTCGCCATAACTGAGCCACCTTTCAATATTCTATGATGTAGAGGAGCCTGTCAACTATAACTTTAGAGGAGTGTCTCCCTTGGAGAATGTGGTCATCTTGGATGTTGGGTGGGATGGTTTCAAAAGGGATTGTGTCCTTGACTTCACGGAATGGACAGAGAAGGTGCTGAAGTGCTGTCCAAATCTTAGGAAGTTGATTGTCCATGGGATGGTTATAGAATGGGAAGATCCCAAGTATTTGATGAATCTTGCAGAGCACACCTCATCGATGTCTGAAATGTTGAGTAAGTATCCACATATAGAAGTGAAGTTTACATAGAATGTTGAGACCTTGCGGAACACACCTCTCCAGTATGGTTTCGGAGCTGACTAGTGATTGTCCGAAGAATCCGCATTACGACATATATCTCAAAGCTGGGAGATTGCTGCTGCCAACCAAACCATCATGTCCAATTTGAATGCTAAGCAGGTATATTGAATCTTCTATTTAAGACTCTTCTTCTATTTAAGACTTTTGTATGCTATAATCCTTCTTGGCCATGAAGCTTTTATGTAACATTTTGAACATCTGCTTCTGAAGAACTCATATCTCATTTCTTGAAAACCTTGTGCTCTTTTATCTATGATTGTTTATCACTGCAATGAAAACATATGTGCTATGCTTCAAATTATCAAAAGTTGTTAAATTTTAAATGAGTTTGATTACTTATCTTCCCACTTTTTCTAAAAGCCCAAACTAAAGTTTTCATTTCCTTTTAAAAGTACTAGTGCACCAGCCAATACAATATGATTTGATATTGGCATGAAATGATATCTGCTTTCATATAAGCATGATCTCGAATGATTTTAGTCGTAAAGTCGTACTGTATCAAACCATTCAATAATAATGGTACAATTTGAATTTTATAAAAAAAAACATCGGATGGTCACATTCCGTGTTACTCATGTTTGACCACCAATATACAATTTTTTTAAATAGTGTTTGGTTCTTGGTTTGAATTTCGTTTATCTTTGGGTTTATTTTGATTTATATAATTATAAATAGGGGTTGGATGTACAAGTGTTCTGATGTACATAGTGGTTGGATGTACGTAGCTTGACTCCCGGATGTACGCAGCTTGACCGTATGTTTAAAACATAGAGTGGTTGTTTTCCGATCACCCATGGTGTGTGTCGAAAGTTCGTTGACTAACTGTAGTATTTCACTATTGAAAGAAACACATGCATTTTAAAAAGCCATTTTGCTCTATTACATCATACCCCAAAGCAAAAAAAAACAAACAAACTAGTGAACCTTCATTGTTTGTTCGATTAAACAACGAACAACAATGTGCCAACATAAGTATTTTTTTTAATTAATTAAAATTTTGGAAGTATTTTAAACTTTAATAATATTGTTATGTTTTATAATTCAATATTTTGAGCTGATTGGTGGAATTCTTTTTGTGGATACACTTCAGAGTTCTCGAACTTGTTAGTAGAATAATTCGTTTTTGTTGTCCATCATCTGAGTTGTGAAAGCAATTGGGGTACTTTTGAATTTGTAAGTGATCAACATCTAAGAATGATTGACATAAAGGTAGTACATGCAATATTTTAATAGCATACTAAGAGTATATTTTTAAACAATTAGATACACAAAAAAATTGGATGGAACATCAAAGTTTGAACGATTTGGTGTATGTTAAATATAATCGCAAGATCATCAATCAATTCAAAAAGCATCGTGTAATGCATAATTTCATTACATTTTTATATACTATCAGTTCAGTTACTCAACTCACAATATACATGTTCTGGTGTACATGTATCATTTCCCGAAGCTCAAAACATAACCATTGTGCCAAAACCTATAATGCACAATTTCACGACTCAGAATTCCAACAAATATACAAATTTCAAAAAAAGGTGCATATATTTGCACCTAAAATTCCCAACATACATATTTGCACCTAAAATATGCATTTCAACTTGAAGGTTATTAAATCATGTATACAGAGCATAATAAAAAACAACAAAACAGTGAACTTAAATCTAAAAGAAATGAATTTTAATTTATTGGTTGTTTGAGAAGTTCGGGTTTAAAAATGAATTCGAGTGAAGAATAAACGCAACTTTAAAATTGGGGCATATATTGTTGTTGAATTGTGTGCCATTGTTGACCAGTTTAAATAATTCAAAGTTGGACCTACACCAAACAATGAAGGCTTCCATAAGTGTTCTTTTAAATAAACTGGTTATGTACTAGTGTGATGCACGACTAAAAAAATATTAGAAATTTATTAACTATGAAAAAATATTAAAGTTAATGTTTTATATATGAATTAGTAAACTTATTGGTTCTAAATGAAAAAAATATATTTGCAAATAGTATCTTTAATTCTACTTAATTATAGTAAAATTTCATCAATTTTGACTGTAAAAAATCAAAATTGTACAAATACCATGGGCTAAGGTAGTATAACAATAAATTGAAAAAAAGGTATTTATATTTTAATAAGATAAAATACACTCTTTACATTTTGCAACATTTCTTTGTATATAACATACTTAAGACATCGAATAGGTTGACTGTCAACAGCTACACTGAGTTAATAATGACTACACAATTTTTTCAAAATTAATCTCGTTCTTAACTCTTAAGAGATTAACTTAAAGGATAAAGCTATTTGTACCCCAATCTTTTGTACCCCATTTTGTACACCCCAGGTTTACACCGACATTTTGTGTTGGTGTAAAACTAATTTTTTTTAACGCACCAACACTTTGTGTTCGTATAAATTTTTTTAACGCACCTAGACTTGTGTCGGTGTAAACTATCAAAATGTTTGTATATAACTGCGGTGTACAAATGGGATACACTTTTTGGTATAAGTGTAGCATGATTGCATGGCCCTAACTTAAATTTTATTAATTGTCATTGGATATGAGATTGGACTTAGATTTGAATTTTTCTTAAGCATTTGAGTTAACTGGTAGAAGGCCGGACGCATATGAACGTCGTGGCCCTCGTGGGTGGTTAAAATGGAGCATCTTCGCGTCTTCATCGAAGGAATACTGATCCAGTCTGGTTTGGCCCCTTAATGCCCTTTAATAAACAGGCAGATTTTATCTTCGAAGTCCTTCACAAACCCTAGAAAAGGGGAAAGGCTCCATTCGAAATTTGTTTGTATTGGTCGTAAGATAACTCGTAAGTGCTTATCCATCTTAAAATTATTATTGTTTATTTCATTGTTTCAATCCGCTTTCTTGTCAATTTGAAGCTTTAAATGTCATTTAGATGATTGGAATTTGTTTGTTCGGTCTTTATGCATACAGTTGATTTTCCCACTTCATGCTTCAATTACTGATTTTCCTGTTTGAATTTATATATGGTTTGTAGATGGAGAGGAATGTAATCAAGAAATCTCGTGTTCATTCTCCTAATGGTATTACTAGCGAGCAGTGGCGAACCAAGATCTAGCACGAGTGGGTGCAAAATAAAGGAAAAGGTACGTATCTAGCAGTTCCCGGAGATAAAGACATTTAAATAAACATATGTCTCACGAGCATTTTGTCGAACACATAGTGTCCAATAACATAGATAGTACTTCTGTATAGTGGTCTCCTTCCCCTGATTGAAGACATAACAATCTTAAATAAAGACTATTTCTAGTGCTCTGCCCCTCCCCTATTCTTCTTTCTGCTCTCTGCCTCTGTAGTGCTCTCTCCCTCACCTGTACTTTTTTTTTCTTTTTTTGAAGTTTGCTTGTACTCCACATATATATCTATGAAATATATTTCAAAAAGGGAGTGACTGCAATTGCAGTCATTTGGTCCCATGTGGCTCCGCCACTGCTAGCGAGGAAGGCCTCGTGGAGAAACTTCCTGTTGAGATTATTGGAGAGATATTGTCTCGCGTAGGAGTTGCAAAAGATGTGATCAGAGCTTCTCTAACTCGTCGCAAGTGGCGAGATGCTTTTCGCAAGCACCTTCACACACTTTCCTTTGATGTTTCTGATGGTGTTCATGTCTACCACGAACTCCCTACTGCTGACTTGGAAGTGTTGATCACAAAGACCTTATTTCAAACAACTGGTGTGCGAAAACTATCAATTGTGACTTACAGGCACGAGGTTTCAGCTGTTGCAGCTTTGGGCTGGTTAATGTTCACTAGAGAAACATTGTCGGAGTTGTTTTATAGTGTTATCACTTCTCCCACTATTAGTGTTCTTGATATATGCGGGAGGCGGAAACTCAAAACCTTGAGTTTATATGAAGAAACAATTATCGGGGTTGCACCAGTCTTCCATCGATTCCCCTGTTTGACATCACTTTGTCTAAATCATTGCCGTACTTCCGAAGAGGATTTAAACCGGCTCCTTCTGGCTCTTCCCAAGCTTGAGTGTTTGGAACTACGTAACCCCGAATTTCGAGTCGAGGATGACTTTTTTCATGAAGAAGTAACAGTCAAATTGCATTTACCCACATTAAAGACTCTTCTTTTCATTGGTGTCATTGTATTTGAACTTATTTTGGAGACCTGTGATGTTGGATATTTGCATGTGAACGACTCTTGTTTTGGTATATTTAAGGTCCATGGAAGTATAAATATGAGGCACCTCAGGATTTCTAAATCGCATTTTACACTTCTTGAAATTAAAGAGGGTGACAATCTAGAGAGTTTAGAATTCATCAACAGTCATGTCGTTCAGTCAAATTTGTTCCCGATGAAGGTTCAAGCACCAAAGTTGAAGATGTTTCGAATTTGGCGTTTTATTGGGGAACGCATGAGATTTTACGGAGATGCTACAATAATTATTGATGGGTCCGAACTAGTTGTGGATTTAGACCAAATTGCTGTTTGTTCGCCCCAGCTCAACCATCTTTCAATACTCCATGATGTAAATGAGCCTGTCAACTGTAACTTTAAAGGGTTGTCCCTCTTGGAGAATGTGGTCATCTTGGATGTTGGATGGGAATGTTTTAATTGGGATGGTATTGTTGACTTCACGGAATGGACAGAGAAGGTGCTGAAGTGCTGTCCAAATCTTAGGAAGTTGATTGTCCATGGAAAGGTTCTAAAATCGGAAGATCCCGAGTATTTGAAGAATCTTGCAGAGCACACCTCAACAATGTCTGAAATGTTGAGTAAGTATCCACATATAGAAGTGATGTTTACATACAATGTTGAGACCTTGCAGAACACACCTCATCGGTATGGCTTCGGAGGCGACTGGTGATTGTCCCAAATGATTGGAAGTATCCGCATTTCGACGTATAACTCAAAGCTGATTTGGAGATTGCTGCTGCCAACCAAACCCATCAGGTCCAATTTGCATATTAAAGCAGGTATGTTGAATCTTCTATTTAAGACTCTTCTTTGATTTAAGACTCTTGTAGGTTATAATCCTTCTTGGCCATGAAGCTTTTATGTAACATTTTGAACATCTGCTCCTGAATAACTCATATCTCTTTTCTTGAAAACCTTGTGCTCTTTTATCTATGATTTTGTTTATCTCTGCAATAAAAACATCTGTCCGATGCATCAAATTATCAAAAATTGTTAAATTTTAAATAAATGTGATTAGTTATCCTCCTACTTTTCCTAAAAAACCCAAAGTAAAGTTTTCATTTTGTCTTAAAAGTACTAGTGCACCAACGAATACTATATGATTTGCTATTGGGATGAAATGGTATCATCCGCTTTCATAAAAGTATGGTTCCGAATGATTTGTCATAAAATCATACTGTATCAAACCATTCAATAAGAATGGTGCAATATGAATTTTGTATAAAAACATCGAATGGTCACATACCGTGTCACTCTATTTTTGACAGCCAATCTAAATTTTTTTAGTCTTTGGTTCTTGGGTTGAATTTCGTTTGTCTTTGTGTTTATTTTGAGTTATATAAGTATAAATGTAATCAAACTAAAAACTGCTATAAAAATAAATAAACAATTATATAAATGTTCTAATGTACATATTAGTGGTATAATAATTGTTACTAATTGAAAATGTAATTTCTTTGATGTGAGGTTTTATGTGTTTTCAAGGTCTAAGATCATCTATATATGTTTGTTGATGTTTTGAACTGTAGTTTGGAAATGTCTAATAAAAAATTTAATGCTCTGTGTGTTGGATTCTTTTTAGGCGAGAGAGAGATGGATTTGATACATTCTCAAAGTTGACAATGGTGAAGTCGGATGGCTGATAACAAAAGAGATTAGTATCTTGAAAATTGAGTAATGGGATAGGATCAAAATGATAACTCTGTCCATAGACAATGATTTAATTCCTACAATAAAAAACAACATACGAAGAGATAACACCATTTTCTTCTTTTAATTTCAAGTTATTTATATTTAAATAATGCTTATAAGATTTTTGGTACTTGGAGATTAGTGAGGTAGAAACTGTCAATTTTATGAACGGAGCACCAGAGGATCTCCGAGTCATCCCATGACATTAATTTCAATGTCATGGTAACTGGCCTCTATTTTTATTGGTGTTAACTCAAATATTTATTAAGTTCTTATCTATCCTATAAATTCATTTTTTGATTTCTCACCTATCCCCTTTATTTGAATCCAATTTATTTATATCATACGGAGTAAAATTTATTCAATTTTTTCTTTAAAATAATAGTTAAATATTAATACCGTGCAATGCATGAAAAGTGTTAAAGATTTTAATTTGCAATAAAGATCTTTCATGTAACCAAATTACGAATGTAGTTTATATAGAAGTTTTCAAAACTTATAACACTTCCAAAACTCCCCTTCTTTTTTCTATTTTTTCAAATTTTATAATTTTTTATGTTTTTGTAACATTTTTCTTTATTCAAAACATTGAGTAATTATATGTCAATTAATAACTCGTGCATCGCACGGGTACGAGTCTAGTTATATAAATGTTCTAATGTACATAGGGGTTGGATGGACGTAGCTTGACTCCCGGATGTACACAACCTGACCCCTATGTTTAACACATAGAGTGTTATTCCTGTTGACCCATGAGGCGGTCTGAAGTGCTTCACCACCGCCCACTCAATGTCACAACAGCATTGAGAACACTCACCATCACAGTCACTTCATACCCGTAGTGCCCCACTTCCACTACAATGATTTCATTTTAGTTTTTATTTAATACTTACATATTTTTAATCAAATTAAATTCTATCTCTTTTTTCTTTAAAGAAGTCAAATAATTTTTTAATCTCTTAAATAAAAAATTACTAAAAACTAATAAATATTAAAGCTAAAAAACATTCTTTTCCATAATTTTGCTAAAAAATCAAATAAAACTAAATACAAAGAATAAAAACTAAAAAAATATAATAAAGGAAAATTAACGTAGAAGAAAGCAATTGACCGAAAAAAACCAAACAAAAAACGAGAAAGCAACTAAACAAAAAAACCGAAAAAAACAAAAGAAATAAACAAAGAAGAAAGCAACTCAGCGAAAGGAAAAATAAAAATTACTCTAAATAGGACTAAAATATAGAACAAAGTATCAAACTAAGACTTTCACGTTTTGTCCCGAAATAAGACTTTGCACTGTGGTAATGTGACATTGTACATGTACACATTACTATATTGTTTGGTAATATACATGATTATGTTTGGTAATGTAAGTCATATTTCGAGAATAAAAACATGGAAGTCCTATTTTGATATATATTTAATGTTTTAGTTCTGCTTTGGCATTTCTTCCAAGGAAAAAACAAAGTGAAAGGAAAAACAGAGCATCAATTGCTCTGCACTTGCTTCTCTCCGTGATGGTGACCACGGATGGAGTCACGTGCATGGCTCACGGTAGAAGGGGGGCGGTAGAATAGTCATTCAATTTTTCAGCTGATCGGTGGAAATCTTTTTGGGCATACATTTCAGAGTTCCACACTTTGTTAGTAGAATAATTCATTTTTGTTGTTCATCATCGAGCTGTGAAAGCAATTGGAATACTTGTGAATTTTTAAGTAATCAACATCTAATAATGATTGATATAAAGGTAGTACATGCAAAAGGCATAGCGTAATGCACAATTTCATTACATTTTTATGTACAATCAATTTAGCCTCTCAATTCACAATATACATTTTTTGATATTCATCTTCCCCATGCCCAAAACATAACTATGCCAAAACTTTGAGTTTATTGCACCATGATCTTCTGTAGTTTGATGAATGTGCATTGTTACTCCCTATGATTTTAAAACTTATGCTATCACCCACCTCATGGTTCTGATATTGCTACGACAATGCCCATCTAAACTAAAACACCGTTCAGATATTATTGAATAACTCTATTGTCCCTTATGGTTTTGGAAATTGGCACAAACACCCCTCTTTGGAAATTTGGTTTTTTAATTTCTTTTTTAAAATTATTGTTTTTATAAAATTTTTATTAATAATAATTATGATTGTATTTATTAATATTTTTATTATTATAATTATTATTTTAATGATAATAGGTAATATTATTATAAATTATTATTATTATTATTATTATTATTATTATTATTATTATATATTTTTAGTTTTATGACTAATGAGGAAGACTATCATTATTATTTATAATTATAACTAAAAACATTTATCGTTAAGTTATATTATTATTAGTTTAAAAAAAATTATTATTATTATTATTATTATTATTATTATTATTATTGTTGTTGTTGTTGTTGTTATTATTATTGTTATTATATTTACAACTAAATATTATTATGAGTCTTTATTATAATTATTATTAATTATTATTAGTTAGAAATAATTATTATCATTATTATCATTTCTATTATTTTAACTATTATTATTAATGACTATTCTTATTTGTAATTATTATTTTAACTATTGTTATTAATAATAATAATATTATTAATAATAATTACTACGCATAATACTTTTATTATTAAGTATGATGATTGTAATGAATATTATTATGAATTGTTATTATCATCATTATTAGTTAAAAATAATTTGTAACGTTATTATTTTAAATATTATTAGTCTGTATTATTAATTGTTATTACTTTTATTATTAAACATGATGATAGTAAATTATTACTATTAATTTTATTAATGTTCATGTATAATGGTTATAATAATTATTATTGTTTTTATTATTATTATTATTTTAAAGTTAATCATTTTTAAAATACTATTTTTATCTAAATGAATTATAATGGATCTGATCGGTTATGTTTCTGATAAGAATAATAAGTATAGAAATAAGTTAGAATAAAGGCTAAAATCCATCATTGGTCTAACTTTAGCTATGCGCGATTAGTCTTTCAAGTTTCAAAATTTCATAAATAGTCATTCAAGTATTCAACATTCTCTAAAATCAGTCTTCAAGTTTCAAAAGTCCATAAATAGTCCTTCAAGTATTCATCAACCCTCCAAATGGAGTCATTTTTACGGTGCCCTGTTAAAAGCTAAACAGAGTACTAGCTCCATATATATAACTTTCGACCTACATGCAACTAGCTCCGTATATAACTTCCGCCTCAATGCCAGATGCGACTTTCGATCTGCAATGAGTTCCCGGTGCTAGCCACGTCCTCTTCGCAGTGCAGTGAGTCTTTTCCTCCCATTGTAAAAGCTGGGGATAATTTTACTTTAAAAAAGGTTAAATTTGTATACTAAAGAACACAAAACTTTGATTGAAATTCTAGAAACCCATTAATTCCATATAAGTAAAAAAAATCACATACGTATAAGTACAAGTGCTTCATATTATATATATGAAAGTAGTAATTCGTTTATTTTTTAACGTCAATCGTAAAAAAAATTGCATTTGAAGGGTTGATGAGTATTTGAATAACTATTCGTGGACTTTTGAAATTTAAAGGACTGCAAGATTAGTATTGCTTGAAGAATTATTTATTGATTTTTAAAGATCCTATATCTTTATATCTTTATATATTATATTAAATTTAAGAGTTTGGCTTTTGAAATTGCGACACATGGCAGGTCTACTTGACAATTTTTTTACAAATCATTTGCTAGACTGCTACCTTTGATGACTTTAATAACATGACAATTGTGACATGTGACACGCTTATTAGGCAATTTGTTGACATGTCAGCATGTCATTTCATTAAGTAATATTTAAAGAATTAGTTAATAAAAAATATATTCTATGGAAATTAAGTTTTGTATTGTTACACACAAATTCCTTTGCATATTATGTTTAAAAACTTTTATATCTTAATTCATTGTTGGAAAATATTTAAGTTAGATAATATTTTTTGAAATTGAAAAAAAGAAGTCATATTCAAAAAAATAATCAAAACATATAAATTTATTCTAAGAACGGATAGATTGGTAGGACTAAAGAAAATTACATGTGAATATTTGTTATTACTTTGAATTAATACCATTGGAGAGATTTTCCCTTTTTTGAGAAAAAGAGAAATAATTATATAGAAGGAAAGGGATTTTTATTGGGATGTTTATTTAAAAGAGCATTTATTTTGCTCCTTATATATTAAAAGAACTCTAAGTCAAATAACAAATATGTTCTATCTTAAATTTCTATTTTCAAATTATTATTTTCCATTACTAACTTTGTAAAAAGTTATAAATTCATGTCACAAAATTTACTATTTTTCATTAACAACTTTGTACAAAGATGAAGACTTGGTACGAGAGTATTTATGTGTAAGAAATTAATTATTAATTTGTGTTCTTAATCAAAATATTTATGGTATGATATTAATTATTATAAGTGTAATTACTATTTAATAAAATTCTTGAAAATAGAAAATATGTTTATTTCTACATCTTTGTCAAAACAATATAAATAAGTAATATTCTTGCTTATTTATTCATCCGACAATCGACCACAAGGTGCCAAATATTACTGAATAATAGAAATTTTTCATGTTTAAAGTTTTTAGATAAAAATATTTACAATATCTATTTTATGATGGTTATTACAGATACAGAAAGAGAGGGATCGTCATCGGCTATAGCCTCGCATGATCGAACACGTTCAAGAAAGAGTGTACTCTGTGATGTTACAAATGGTATTTTTATTCTTCTGAATTAAATATTTAATTTTTCAGTATTTTTCCCCTAATAATTATCTATACATTATTTTAATCAAAGAATATTTATATATACACTTCATCACGCTTTCGAGTGCAAAAGAGACAAAAGAGAATTGATCTATCTTTTATAACACATGCTTTTAATATTTTTGAAAATTATAATACAACAATTACCTTTGTGTATTAACTAATTATATGTATAAGATTTAATAAACAATGTAAGCAAATACCACATAAATTAATATGGTGAACACACTCGATATATTTTAAATTTGGCAAATCATGTGGTGGATCTACGTACATATGAGAAAACTAATTATTTCCTTATTACTT